GGCCCCATTGGGCACGTGAACGCAGCGGGCCGCTATGGGCCGCAACGAAGCCACTATGGGCCGCAAGGAAGCCACTATGGGCCGAGCGAAGCCCCCAGAGGGCGGAGGGCCGAAACCCGACACACGGCACGGTATTTATATCCCGCCCCAGTGCCAGGCGGAGGAAGCACGGCACGGCACTGCACCACACGACGCGAGCGGGAGGCGGAAGAGGGTCGACCAGCGCGCGGCCGACCAGCCGAGCGAGGGCGCCCCCGCGGCCAGCCGCGGGGTCGTTCACAGCGCGGGCGGATTTGTGCCAAGCAATAACTTCGTTATTCCGACCCCACAAATCCTGGCGCTTGCACTCGCCTCGCACGGCCCTGGGGGGGGGGGGAGGAGGAAGCCTCCCCCAGGAGCGGAGGGTGCGGACCCGACCCATCTGCCCCGCAGCGCGCGGCCTCTCCGAGGCCAAGCGGGCAGACGCCGGTCGGGCCCGTGGGGGAGCACCACCCACTGCAACGGCGCTCCCGCGGGCCACGCCCGGCGCTGCCACCCACTGCCCCCGCGTGCCGGGGGTGCGCCCACGTGTGTGCCGTGCAGACACGACCACCAGACTGCGCGGGGTGCTCAGCCATCGCCATCGTCGCTGGACGACTCTGCCAAATGGGCTTCCGCGACCGACTGCCGCTCGAGCCGGGAAACGTTAAGGTATTTCATCCACGCGGGCTGATGCCAGCCGCCCGCGCGAAGAAGGTCGGTGACCGGTCCGCCCCTGGCAGCGATGTCCTGCGCGTGCCCGCGCCTGAACGCGTGAGTGCCGAATGATTCCGCGTCGTGGCGCCCCATTTCGCCCAGCGCGCGGCGCAGCCGAGCACGTGCCGCGCCTGGGGACCACGCAGCCCAGATGGGCTGATGAGCTGGCTCGCCAACTAGCCAGGCCCCAAGAACGTGTACGGGACAGGTGACCGCGCACTCGTCGCACCAGCACTGCCGTGCCATCACCGAGCGGCTCTCGCGGTTCTTTCTCCTGGAGAGGTGCAGCTCGATCTTCTGATCGCCGACGACGAACGCGGAGGCCACGCAAGCTGCGGCCGCGCCATCTTCAACCCGCACCGCGGGCAGGGCCTCCGAGGGTAGCCGAAGGAGGAATGCGTAGGCCGCCAGGCACAACATGGCGAAACGGCGACCCTCGTCACTGACGCGCAGGTGCGACACCAGACGGGCGACGTCGCGGCCCTGAAGGGCCATGCGCGCCTTCGCCTGCCAGCCCGAACGCTTCTCGATGGCGTTCTTAGCGGCGCGAACCGCCGGGTGCCTGAAGACTTCCACGGGCCTTGCGCGCCAACTGCCGCCGCGGGCGGACGCGCGCGTTGCCGGAAGATGAGAGGCGGGCGCGCGCCGGCATGCCACGAGGCACGCCTTCTTCACGTAAGTCACATAATTGCTGAAGGTCCCGGCGCACCTGAAGGTCGTGGACCACAGAAGCAGCCCCTCCAGGGTGGGCGGCAGTTCCTTCCCCCGTCGCTTTAAGACGCCCCTTGCGAATGTAACCCAGCACTCGAACCCGCTGCTGAGCGCGGGCAATGAGCGCGGGCATGCGCCCAGGAGAGCGCTCACCCGGGCCCTGCGCGCCCACGCTTTACCGGCCGCCGAGGAGGTGATGAGGGCTCTGGCCCGAGCAGCTTCGGCCCGCGGCCCGCGCATGTCACGCCGACCCTCGCGCCCAGCGACTGAGAGCGCCCACCGGACCGCGGACACGGGGTCCTCCGGGGGAGCTGCATGCGCCCTGCCGCTGTCCTGGCGCCCGCGTTTAGCGCAGCGAGCGACATGCCGCAATTTCGCGCGCGCACCGTGGAGGATGACGAGACGGATTCGCTCGAGGGCGACCGCGTCGCGATGTCGGTCCTGCGACGGCCGACAAGGGGGGGGCCCGCGACGAACGCGGAACGCGCAAGCAGACCTGGGGGCAATCCCGGGCGACGGGGCGGGCGCAGGAGAAGCGCCCGCGCTGCCCCTGCCCAGCGCGGCTGGCGCGCCGCCGCGCTGGGCTGCCGCGATAGCCGCGCGGACCACCTCGCGGGCGTCGCAAGATAATGCCGCGGCGCCCCTGAAGTCTGCCAGGGTGACGCCAACCAAATCGCTCACGGCGTCGGCGCCGTTATCGGCAAGCAGCTCGGCAGCGGCGAACACAGGAAGAGGGCGTGCCTCAGGGCAAACCGCGCGAAGCTGAGCGAGCAATCCAGCCAGCGCCATCGCGCGAACACCGATGACATTCTCCAGGTGCGCCGACAAACCAGAGATGCCCTCGCGCGCCCACAGGCGAAGCGCGACCGCGACGTGCGCGAGGGAGGACGCCAACCCCTGCCCGACCTGGCGGGCGCACCCTGACCGATGAGTGAAGGCCAGATCCATTGCACGCACGCCCAGCGCCCGAGCCGGTCATGGCCGGCGATGAGGAAGCCACGCGCTCGGATCGAACCAGGCATCGTCCAGCACCGGAGGAATCCACTCCGCCCCCAAGCGATACAGCAGGGAATATGACTCGCGCGACGGCAGGTCGGCGATGTTGTCCACCGACGCCACACGCTGAACGTGCAGATTGCAATTCGCATCCAGCGCCATGCGCCAGATTGAGTGGACCAGGCAATTGTGGTCAAACTGCTTCGCCGCACCGGACCGGACGGCCCACTCGCTGCCTGAATTATCCGAAAAGATGTTCACGCATCGGCCCGACAGGAGCGGCTCAAAGGTGGCCAGGCCCAGCGCGATGCTGAGCACCTCCAGACCGCCGATTTGATTGTCGCGCCTTTCCCTGAAGAGCCGAAGCAGAGGCACAGGCGGGGCGACATCGGTGAAGACAATGCGCCCGTCAATGAAAAGAACCGCGGCCACTCTAGCTGGATTCCCCCGCGCGTCGGAGAGCAATTGGACAGACCTGGTGTCTGGCGCCTGCCACTCCCGCGTCGTGGTGAAATTTCTGGCGAGCGCTTCGTGCCACCATTGCAGGCAGACTCGCAGGTGCGCCGGGATACTAGGATGGCGCGCCCTTGCGTGCTCAAACAACGGCGGGAGCAGCGCGCGCCCGAACCGCCCGAAGGTGTGGGAGGCAGCCCAACAGAAGCGGCCTGCCAACTTGGACGCGCGCCCGCGCTCGAGCGCGCCCTCTTGAAGAGCAGCAGCGATCTCGGCGCGCCACCGGGCGCGCTTCTCCGGCAGCGGCCAGCACACGAGGCCACGCTCGTCAATCGCCACAGACAAGCCCAGGACCCCGAGCGGATTGCCGAACAGCAGCTTACCGTCGGCCACAGCGCTCGGGCCCAGAATGATTCTTACCAGTTCGGCGAACTGTCGCATTGCGTCGCGCAGCCCTTTCTTACGTTCGGGGCAGAAGAAGTCGTCCACATATCTGAGGACGGGGACGAAAATGAGCCTGCGGCCCAGCGCTGACAGCATCGCGCCGATGCGCTCCCAGCTGTGAACGGAGGAAGTCGCTCCGAATGGGGCGGCGAAGTGCTGAGCCACGTAGACGCATGTGCCCACGAGGAACGCGACCCATGCGAGGGCGCGATGTTCCGGCAACAGCGGCACGCGCCGGAACGCGGCGTCTATGTCCGCCTTCCAGAGCCCGGGCGCTTCGCCCACGCGCGTCACAAATGCCTTGCAAGTGCCAAACAGAGCGTCGATGGCTTCATGGCCGAGACGCTCCGTCGGCTGCGACGCCGCGTTGATACGAGAGCGCGACATATCATCTACGAGCCGCAGCTTCTCGGACCCGTCCTCTCTCGACTGCCGGACGCCGAACCGCGGCGACAAAACCGCACCGTCGAGCTCGACCGCGCTGAGCGGCGCGGGATGGCTCATTCGGCCGAGCTCCGCTTCGGCGATAGTTTTGGTGAGAATCACGGCGGAGTCGCTAGACTCCTTGAGCGTGCCGAGCAGCGCGGCGTTGCCTCGCTCCGCGCCCGCGGCCAAGTCCGGCAGGCTGAGCGGTACAGGGAAAGATTCCGGACGCCCGTTCCCCGTGCACGGGAGAGGGCCCACGAGAGGCGCGCCGCGCCGAAAGACTTCCACGCAGGCCGCGTCCTCGTAACCGATTTCGTCGAGCAGTTCGACGAGAAGAGGGCCGTTGATCGACCCTGCGATTGTGCGCACATGGGCATCGCAGCCCGCGAACCAGGCCGCCGTCGCTCCAGAGGCGCGTAGCTCGGCGTCCCTGGCCCGAATTCGCTCGAGAGTCGCTCGCCGCTCACGGCACACCTGCCGCTCCGAGCGCGCAGCAATCCAATCGATCGCCGCCAAAACATCGCCGGGCACCACCACGGCCTTTTCAAAGGCCTCTTTGTCCTCGAAGGAGTGAGAACGGGAGAGGACCTCTTCAAGAAAGGCGAGCTTAGGCGCTTCCTCAGCAGACGCAGGCGACGGCAGGTGACAGCAGCCGGCAGTGGCCAGCGCGCAACCGCGTGCATTGCAACTCGAGGCAGCATTCTGCCGGGCGCGCGAGCCCGCGAGCGTCGCGCGCCACAACGCGCAGCGCCTGATAATCCCATGTGGCAGCGATACTGGGCCCCATCGCATCCTGCGCTTTGCGAGCGCGAGCGCTCGAGCCTGCCGGGGGCGTTCGCGCGCCTCCTGGCCCAGCGGGCGGGCGGCCCTCGCGTCGCGAACGGACCGCGAGTGTTGACTGGCACCCAAGCCCTGGACGACGCGGCAACAACGCGGCGCCCTCCTGCCAGCGCGCGCGCGCGCGCCTGCGGGTCCCACGGGACGGTGGCTGAGGTTGGCGCCCATTCGTTGTTATTCAAATGCCAACGTGGCGCGCGATGCACGTCCTCATCGGCGCGCGTCCCGCACATCGCCGCGCGCCGCGGGCTGCGCGTGCCTCCGGCGGGCGTCAGGCGCGCGGCTTCTTCTGAGGAGAATACACCGTTCGCGAATCCCAGGAGCGCTTGTTGTAATCCCCGCGATAGGATCGGGACTGCCACCCGTCGGCTCTGGAATCGCGGTCGTTCTTCCAGGAAGTGACGGCGGCGCCCCCCGCGGCTCCCACGGCGCCCGCGGCGCTCGCGGCGCTCGCACTCTGCCCGCGCGCTGCCGCGGCGCTTTTCCCTGCACCCTTGCCGGCCGGCGCGGCAACCTGCGCGACAGCGGTGGCGCAACGCGAACAAGGGATTCGGCGACGCGGCCTTAAGAGCCCGATCATATTCCGCTTCCGCCGCGCGGAGCAGCCCGACGTCAAGCGACAGCGCCGCAACGTTCACCTGCGCGCCGACGCGCGCCCGAGAATAACGCGCCGAAGCATGGCGCGGAGCTGCGGCCTGGAAGCCTGCCGCGCCGGCGGCGGCACGCTCGGCCCACGTCCTCCGCACAAGGCGGTCGTAGACCAAGGCAACCTGGGCCTTCCGTCCCTGCAGGGGGGCATCCAGTGCAACCTGGGCAAGCGCGCCCACTTCGGCGACCAGCGGACGGGCGCCAATGTCGACTCGCCTGGAGAACAACGTGTTTGTGAGCCATGGCGCTCGTGTACGAAATCTGATCAGTGACCGCGGCCGCCACGCTCCACGCGTCGTAAGCTTGGTGCCATGGCGTCCACGCCAGAAGCGGCTGGCTCTCCGCCGCGGTTCCCCGTCCGAACGCTCTGGCCAACGCGGCCGCCTCTTTCGACTCGGGCTCGTCATCGTCGGGAGAGCCGCCCGCGCCGCGCGCGCAAAGCGGCTGGAACTTCGCGAGCTCAGTATAAATGAACGGGCGCGCGATTCCCCTGGATTTCGCGCGCTGCACCTCGGTGGCCAGCGCATCGGTCTTCGCTGACCTGAGCGAACGATGGAAACGCGCCAGCGCGCCGGGGCGAAGCCGCGCGGCAGCCTCGGCCACAGGGACTCCGGAAGGTCCCTCAAGCTGATCTGGGCCAGGCCAGCGCCGATGTCGACATGCTCTCCCTTCGGCGGGAGCCCAGGATTCTGCAGCAACCGAACCGAAACGACCCGCCGAAGCCGGCGCGGGCCCCGCGGCACCCGGCGCACTCGCCTTGGCTGCCGCCACCGTCGCGCGATCCAGAGCGCGCCGCAGGACGCCCTTCGTCAGCGCCGTCGCGCCATCGGCATCCTTCAAATCGCCGAATTGAAGATTGGCCAATTCTTCTGGCATCGTCAGCCCATTGGCTGCCAGGCAATCAATGGCGCCCTTGAACTGGATATCAGTCCACTTCGCGCCCACAACAGGGTCAGACTGCAAGAAGGCAAGCATCGCCATCGCAATCACAGCGCCACGGGGCACGAGCGAGAACCACGCCAGCAGAAGCCCGCTCGCTTGCATGCCAGCGCGCCATGGTGACGAATGAGAGCGTGCCAACGACAGCACGTGGTCACTATGGACCAGAAGAGAGGGCCCCATTGGGCACGTGAACGCAGCAGGCCGCTATGGGCCGCAACGAAGCCACTATGGGCCGCAAGGAAGCCACTATGGGCCGAGCGAAGCCCCCAGAGGGCGGAGGGCCGAAACCCGACACACGGCACGGTATTTATATCCCGCCCCAGTGCCAGGCGGAGGAAGCACGGCACGGCACTGCACCACACGACGCGAGCGGGAGGCGGAAGAGGGTCGACCAGCGCGCGGCCGACCAGCCGAGCGAGGGCGCCCCCGCGGCCAGCCGCGGGGTCGTTCACAGCGCGGGCGGATTTGTGCCAAGCAATAACTCCGTTATTCCGACCCCGAAACCCTTGCGGCTATCCCCCCAATTAGTGGCCTCCGTCCGAGTAGATGAGGTTGGAGGATCGCACCGCGTTGCCGGTGTATCGCCGATACATCGGCGATGCGTCGACGATGCATCGACGACGCTGGCGATGCATCGGCGCCGTCGACGTGGATCAAATCGGACTCCACGTCAGGCCGCATCGCCGATGCATCGGCGACGCGGCGAGATCCTCCGACCCCATCTACTCGGACCCCGCCTGGTAGGCCCAGACCCATGACGTTGCCCCTGAGGAGGGCGGGGCTCCGGAGGGACGGCCTTCTTGCGCCCTATCCATCGGCAGCGGCCAAGAGGGGCGTGTCCAAGAGGGAGGGGGTGCAAATCATGACCGGTGGCATGTGCGCGGCCCAGCGGGGGAGCCAGGGACGTAATGCAATAAGAAAAGGCGCCATGAAATCTTCCAGCATCTACGCGCCAACCTATCACGTTATCTCTCGTCGAGCTTCGAAGGGCACTCTGGGCGGCTCTACAATTATGTTTCGTTGCTTTGGGAAGTCTCGTCTGGAGAATGACGGAGGTGGCTATTAGAGGGCTTATCTCCCGCAAGGCTCTATCAATGGTCGTGGGGGCCTCGGAGTGAAAATGTTTCTTGGCTTCGTCAGTCTCTTCGGTGGTTGGTTCCGCTTTCGGTGCAGAAGTTTCGCGTTGGCAACCAGACGCTCTAGTTCAAGGTCTTCGTTACTTAGATGATGCTCTACTTCTATCGCGAGTTCTGTGTCACCACTGCCTACAAAAATGGGGTAAGCTGATATATCATATCCAGTTCTCTTTGGTGTCAGCAGGTTTTGTGCATACTTGGACGGATTTGGAAAATACCAGAACACGCCGCTGCTTGCGCATCCTCCCACAAAACGTTACTCGTCTTTGGTTACGAGGCTCTGGGTGTACACGTCAAGAAATGGTACCCAAGATATTTCGATGCTCTGCCTGTTCCTTTTGGTTGCCTTCGCGCAGTGCTGATTGCCCGCATTGCGCGTACTCGAAGCATGGGGGCTGGTCATGACTTGCTCGCGTGGTGTCTCATTGAAGAATTACAGGAGCTAGCTTTGGAAGGGTACCCATTATCTGCCTTGGGCAAACTAGCCCAGTCTTTACCGGACGAGTTCCCGGAGGCGATAGAAGTCAGAGCTTGGTTTCGGAAGTGCGTGCGTCGCGATCTCATCATCTTTATCGCGTGGTCTGCAACTGTTCTGGATCACTTTGTGCATCCGTGCGGCTGTCCGCTCACCCGCCTGCTTTGCCTAGGCTGGCCGCAATGGGGAAAGGAGATGTTGGTCGCTACCGTGACGACCGCCGGCCTTACGAAGGAGGAGGAAAAGGCTGTCGTGATCGAGACAACCGCGGGCTCGATGATCGTGGCCGAGATGACCGTTACCACGGGGACAATGACAGAGACAACCATCGCTACTGTGGCCCAACGTTCCAGAACCACTCGGGCTACAACCGCACGCGCGCGGAGGATCACGAAGACAGTCGCAGTCGTCGTGAGAGATCTCCGTCACTGGGATGCATTGAATACCGGCGGGCTAAAGATGCAGAGCGTGAAGAAGCACGCCTACGACAGCAAGGTGAAGTCATTGGAGAAGCCCGCGCCGACAAGTTCAACGCTACCTTTCTCCGGATTCGATGGCAGCACGCATGGCAGAGAATTCGGTGCAGGTTCACGCGCCCGGGGGCGGGCGCCCGTCAAGCGGTACCCGTTAGGATATCTCACCTGCACCTTCATCGCGCGTGCAGGAAACCCCATCAAAGGACGTCATCGGCGATGTCAACATCAGGTGGCTCGAAGCTCCCCTGGACCACATGATCTCGTTCAAAGACAAATCAGGCCTCGGCGTGGTCATGCTAACGGATCACGGCAAGGCTTCGGGACAGAAGATGAGCGCCTTCGTCGAGCGGCACAGCCTGGATACCCCTCCCGATCGTTACATCCACAAGCGTACCATCCAGGTTGCAAAAATACTTCAAAGCGCTAAATGAACCCAACACGGGTCCATGTTCACGTTCGCTGTCTTGGTGCAAATTTTCGTTGAGGGCTTCTCCCTGGGAAATATCAGCGGCAATTGTACTGAACCAGATATATTCACGGCTTGGTGGACCTTGAATGTCTCCCGTCGGTCAGAGGTTGTTTGGCTGCAGTCTCTCATGGGCGTCGATATTATCTCGATGGGGTCGGCGACGCAGCTATGGAGGTGGTCTTGCAATGCCTTGAATGTCCTAGTGGGGCTCATATAGTGCACTACGTCAACATGCGTTTCGCTATCTTTTGCGTATTCGGTCGTACCCCGGATGATCAGCCCCGTCAGGTGCTATGAGAGGTGGCGCTGGTAGTGCAGAATGGTTGCCCATGAGTTCTTCCACTGCCTAGATGAATTATCTAGGGGGTTCATCCTCCACCTCCTTCCGTACCCCCATTGAATTCCCGTGCCCCCTTAAATTCCCGCCAGGTCCCCACCAACATCTTCCGAGGAATTCCAGTGGTGCGCATGCTCGTTCCCCAAACTTTCGTGTGAGCAGCCTGCTTTGCTCGAGCACCTAGGTCCGTGTTGCCCACGCGTGCTTGCAGCAACATTGATGGCGCCTCAGTAGATACTCACAGCAAGCAGGTTCGTGGGCGGGTCGCCATCGCTCCACGGACGGCCATCCCGCCCCCAGCCAGGATCCCTTGTAAATCACACTGCGTCTGCGCTCCCAGGGCCACGATCCATGGCAAATTACGCTGCGTCCGCTCTCCCTGGGCCACGAACCATTGTACATTACGCTGCGTCCGCGCTCCCAGGGCAACGCTCCCTCGTGAATTGCGCAGTGTCCGCGCTCCCAGGGCCACGATCACTCCTAAATTACACTGGGTTCGCGTCTCCAGGGCCAGGATCCCTCGTCAATTACGCTGCATCCGCGCTCCCAGGGCCAGGATCCTTTTGCACACGCGCTTCGCCCGAGACATCCTCAGATGTTCGGCACGCAGGGTGCGCCATCCTCGAGCGGAACGCAGAAAGCAAGCCCTCCTTTTGCAAAGCAAGCGCGGGGCTCGAGATATCCTCGAAATTCCTGCGCGCGGGACGCGACACCCTCGAGCGGACACGCAAAAGGTCAACTTCCCCATACTTTCACAACGGCCCGTCGACGATTCTGGGGTATCCATACCTCGTTATTTCGTATGGGATTCTGCGCAAAATGCTCCGCACCCTCTTTTTTAACAGGGAAAGCGGGGGTCTGCGGACCCCGTTAGGCAACTAGGATCCGACATGGGGGGCACATCTTCCTCTAGCGGGCACGCGCGAAACGCATTTTTTCCCACGCCGAATGGGACTTCACCTCGCTGCTTTTCTCGCAAATCAATTTCGCTGGCCCGTCTCCAGTCGATTCTGGGGTAAACCTACTAAGAGAACCCTGGACCTCCGCCCTTTCGGGGAAAAACACAAACATCACACACACACACACACACACACTCAACAGCCACTTTGAAACCATGGACCCCCCAGCCCTCAGGGTTGACCGCAGTTGTAGGATCAGGTTGAAAGAAGTCATCTCGTCCTTGCAGTAGTCTGCGGACTTCGCTGCCAGTCCGATGAGCATCCTGTCGGCCCATCTGAACACATCCAGAGGGCACACCCCTCACACGGTTCGTGGCCCCATGGAAAGCTCCATCGGAGGTTTCAGGGGCGCAGCCCGCATGTGCCCGCGCAACCAATTTCGGCACACACGCCCCCCACACACGTTCCAGGGCCCCGTAAGGAGCTCCACGCAAGGTTCCCGCGGCGCAGCGCGCATGCGACCGCGCCACCGATTTCGGCGCAACCCCTCACCCGCTTCGTGACCCAATAGGGAGCTCCATCGAAGATCCCCGTGGCGCGGCCCTGATGCGTCCGCGCGTCAAATTGCACGCCCCTCACACGCTTCGTGGCCCCACAAGGAGGGCCACCGAAGTCGACACTCACAGCTGTGCCACCCACACCTCATATGGTTGGGTTCCCTCGCCAGAATATTGTATTAACGTGGCCGCGTAGCAAGTTACGGGTGGATACGGAAGTTGGGTCGGTAACCTTGCGGAAGGTGCCAGTCTGAGACCTTGTCTTCCCCATTGGGGCATCTCGGGCTGTGGTTCGCCTGTGGTTTTTCTGTGGTTGTGCTGTGTCTTTGCTATGACTTTGCTGTGGTTTGCTACGATTTGCTGCGGTTCGCTGCGGGTTTCCATGAGTTTGCTGTGGTTGTGCCGTGGATTTCCTTGGTGTGGTTTGCCGTTGTTTGATGTTGTTTTCCATTGGTGTTGCTGATGTGTTCCTGTGGTTTTGCATGCAGCCATGTCTTTTGCCCGTGACCTAAGGTAACTCGCATGACAGAATACCCGACGCAGCAGCAGACGAAATCTGGATGGTAACGCTGAAAATGTACGACTCCGCCAATGTATCTTGTCATGCGAAGTCTGCTGCAGCAACCGAAGACGCGGAAGGGCCCGCGCTTTTCACTTCCACCGCCAGATCTACACGGTCGGCACAACCCGCTGGAGCAATCATTACGTCTGTGTGGTCGTCCTCCCCCAGCAGACCCCCGACTGCAAGCCCTG